GAAGGAGCCTGCAGAAATCTGCTTGACGTAACCAGAAGTACCCAAAAGGGACTCCACGCGGCCGACAAGCTCCTGAGTTGACACTGTGCCAGATCACGTCTGGAGGAGCACCATCCACGAGAGCCCTCCATGATCCTGGAAATGTCCTAGCACTTGCACTGGCCAGTATGGCCAGTGCCCACATGGGGTACTGGGCACCTGAAACTGGCCAGCGAGACTGAGGAAATGAGTTTTTAACTGATTTAATTTTAATTAAGTGTATTTAAAGGTAAACAATAAGTGTGGCCAGTGATTGATATATGGGACAGTGCAGGTTAGAAGAAAAGGCTCTGTCCAGGATCCTCAGGGGAAGATGTCCAGCCCAGCCGCCCCTGGCAGTTTCAGTCCATAATGAGGGCGACAGGCGCTACACTCCCGTGAAGTCCTCAGCCATGCAACGTGGTCGACATTAAACACTGGGGGCAGATTTCTCGCATGCCAGACCCTGTGCTGGGCCTTGGGCTTGGTCCCTGCCTGAGGACATGTGGGGTCCAGTGGGTGAGGCCGCAGTGACAGCCCATTCCAGGAGAGCCTGTGCCAGGATGGGAATGGTACAGGTGCCAGGGAACCCGGGGCAGAGAACCTCTGCAGGCCAGGGAAGGCAAGCAGGGCGGGCCGAGGGAGACTCCTGGAAAACTCCCAGGGGTACCATGTGCGCAGGAGCCTGAGGAAACAGTCCCAGAGCAGGCAGCAGAGTGATGTTCACCGGGCAGGGAGGGAGTGGTATGGTGTTTGTGAAAATGAAGGAAGCTGGGAGCCTGGAGTGTGGAGAATGGCTAGACAGAAGGGCGGCTGTCCCTCCTGGAGAGAGCCACCAGCGCCCCGGGCCTCAGTAACCACTGGGGCTCGAAGAACAGGCAGGTGGGTGACGCCAGCCTTAACCACATTGTGAAAGTCAAGGGGAAAAAATTAAAAAGAAGAAATTTATAGGCGTTTGGGATTAGGAGATACAAACTACCATATATAAATTAGATAAACAACAAGGACCTGCCGTATAGCACAGGGAACTGTATTCTACATCTTCTAATAGCCTATAATGGAAAAGAATATGAAAAAAGATTTATATTTTATATATATATATAAAATATAAAACTGAACTACTGTGCTGTACACCAGAGACTAACACAACATTGTAAATCAACTATACTTCAACTAAAACATAAAATAAAAATTTTTTAAAAAGAACTCTAGTTCCAGGTCCAGGAGGACACATTGGAGGGCTGGCTGGTCAGGGCTTCACACACCCTATGTCCCTTCTACTCCTCTTCCCTCAGGCACTGGCCTGACAGAGCCACACCTCAGCAGGTGTGCGTGCATCTGAGACGGGAAATGGGTTCTCAGAGAAGGAGGAACAACGCATGATCAGATCACCAGCCATGGGGCGTCCCCAAGAGCTAACAGCCACCCTGCCGGGGAAGCACGTGTCTTTCACTGGCTGCCAAGGGCCTGTCTCCCACGTAACTCCCTGAAAACTATTTCCAAGCGTAAAGCTGTAGGAGCCTGTTGGGACGGCTCACGGGGTTGAGGAAGGCCCCCAGTCACTTCTCTTTTGTTGTTGTTACTTTCACTTATTTTTTCAGGATTTCAAACTTTTTCTAAAACAGAACTATTTTATTGATTTTTTTCACTTGAAGTATAGTTGGTTTACAATGCCGTGTCAATTTCTGGTGCACAGCATCATGTTTCAGTCATGCATACACATACATATGTTCCTCTTCATATTCTTTTTCATTACAGGTTACTACAAGATATTCCCAGTCACTTCTAATTCCATCCCCCACATCACCTGGTGCCATGGGCTTTCTAGGTGGGTTTGGCAACGCCAGGTCTCCAGCGTGTGAGGAGGCGGCCTCTGTCCCGTACAGGAGTTTCTCAGCTCCTGGGCCCCATCCCTCTGCTGACGCAGGCCGTGGGCCTTCCCCACATCCCTGAGCATCCTCTGAATTTTCTCTGCCATTTCTCCTCTCCGGCCAGGTCTCCCATCACGTGTGACGGCCTCAGTGGTGGCAGACAAAACAAAACAGGGCTCGTCCACCAGAGGAAGCGCCCCAGATGCACGAGGGCTGCCCCGGGACGAGCAAGGCCCACTGAGCTGCTGCTGGACCTGACCTCCAGGACGTGGGAGGGGGCCTGCTGTTGAAAGCTCAGTACTTTTATCAGGGAGAGGGATCCGACCCTGGCAACACCTCTTTCTGTGAGGCCCCGATCAGGTATCTTCTTTACGGATCATTCTTATGACCTCTAAAACGGTTCGTCTCCCTCTCTTAGGGAGGGTTCACACCAAGCTGAAACCCCTAACAGGTTCCCGGGGAACACCATAGGTGCTCAATAAATGCACACCGTTTTTTTCCCCCTCTGGCATAAAAAGAGACCATGATCCTATCAAACACCACCAACAGGGTGGCTCTGGAGCAGGGGCAGCGGACATGACAGAGGTAATGAGCTGTTACACTGCGTAGGCAGATGCGTGGCAGGTGCACTCACACGCACCACTGAATCCTCACTGCCACCACCCTGCGCTGGAGGGGCAGGGGAGGCAGCACCACATCCAGACCACAGGTGGGAAAACCAGGGTCAGCATGTGAGCCGAGGCAGGTCACACCATCGCTTAGGGGCTCCTCTGGGAAATAAGAATCCGGCCCCAAACTGGTGGCCTACGGGCCAGTAGGCTGGGTGCCTCTGGCCTGTGTGCTGTGTACTAAACATCAGGAAAATCTGTCTGTTTCTTTAAAATGTGGATTCTCAAATTTCTAGTTAAGAAACCATTTTTTGTGTGTTTTCCCCACCGCGGGGGTGGGGGGAGGTAATTAGGTTTACTTATTTAATGGAGGTACTGGGGATTGAACCCAGGACCTTGTGTGTACTAAGCATGCACTCTACCCCTGAGCTACAGCCTCCTCCCTGAGACCATTTCTTTGATCAGATGATCAGGCAACATGGAGCCCTCATTCCTACCTGGCAACCACCGGCTAGAAGGGGAGAAGACACCCCTCGAAGACCGTCCCTTCCAGCCCCCACACCCAGTGCCAGAGCCACCCTCAGCCTGCTTCGCTCACTCGGTCCCCTGCCCAGGCCCCGGAAGACTTTTGATTTCCCAAGAGCTATTCAAAGCACCAGTGACTATAATCCACCAACAGCCCCTACTCGAGAGGGGGATGCAGTTTCCTATGGGGTAGACATTAAGAGATGCTCTCATTCTACCAACCAACCTTACCAGGTGGGTGCGATAGCTGTTACATTTTACAAAGAGGGAACTGAGGCACAGAGAGACGTGGTAACTTGCCCAAGGTCACAGAGCTGGGAAATGGTAGAGCCAAGATTTAAACTAAAGCCAAGCAGTAAATAAACACAGTGTAGCGATCAGTACTAAGACTTCAATGTACACACTGCGCAGCAGACGCACGACTGGAAAGGCCTCCGAAGAAAGTGTCATCCAAGTCAGGCCTTGAAAGGAGGGGGATTCACCAGACAGAGAAGGGGGGCATCGACATGGAGGGACCAGCAGGAGCAAAGGGCGGGAGGGCTGGTGGGGCCGGAGGCAGGAATGGCACACGTGGCAGACTGAGGTGTTTGAACTTGATCCCACGCGCAAGGGGGAGACAGGCTGGGATTCCCACGCGAGTCTCAGTTTACTTCCCAGGCGCCTGTGGTCAGAAACGCCTGCAGGAAGTGTTGTACCACGAAAAAGAGAGGTAACCATCCTTCCCTGGACGGCTCGGCTGTGAACGGAACTTTCCGAGCTGCAGTAACATCGTCGCCCAACGCTGACCGGAAGGCGATCCCACCGGGAGGAAAGGATACGGGGAAAGTGGGTGCGCGGTGGGGTCGGAGGGAGGAAAGAGGCAGAAACCCCACTCTCCGCACGGGGGTGTCGGAGAGAAGAAGGAAAAGTACATAGTCAAGTCGTCACGTGGTCCACAGACACAGAAAACAAACTTACGGTTATCAGTGGGGGGAGGGGGTGGGAAGGGATAAACTGGAGTTCAAGATTTGCAGATACTAACTACTATATCTAAAACAGATAAACAACACAGGGAACTGTATTCGGTATCTTGTAGTAACCTATGAGAAAGAATATGAAAACAAATATATGTATGTACATGCATGACTGAAACATTATGCTGTGCACCAGAAACTGACAACATTGTAAACTAACTATGCTTCAATTAAAAAAAATACATACAAAAGAAAGTAGCCACACGGCAATAAACTATAATGGAAAAGAATCTGCAAAAGAACATACATATATGTATATGTATAACTGAATCACTTCGCTGTACACCTGCAACTAACACAATATTGTAAATCAACTCTATTTCAATATAAAAAAAAAAGTGCGAGAGTCTCCCTAAGATAATAATCATTAAAATTTGGGGAACTCAAAAAAAAAAAAGTAGCCATTACAAAGCTACTATTCAGAGCCACAGAAATAAATGCCTAAATAATCAGCTAAAATATGTTAAACTAATCTATTAAACTGCCTCTAGGGGAGAAAAAAATGGGGATGGGTTAGGAGGATGGGATACTAGTGAGGGGTTTTTCTGTTTATTTTGTTTTCTGCCCTTTTTTTTTTAACTGTAGTAAAACACCATGGTGGATTTTTAAGCAGAGGCATGACCGGATCAAATCTGGGTTCTACCAAAGAGTAGACTGGGGTCCTCAGGTGAGGCTGGTGGGCAGGTTCGGGGACCCCCAGCCTGTTATGCGTGTGACCATCCAAGGGTACTGAACCCAAGAGACTTGATTCGACATCAGCACCTCCCTGTGTTAGTGAGGCCGTGTTGCAGGGACGATGATGCACAGCTGGCTGATTTCCAACCAAGACTCTTCATCCAACACGCGTTAAAAGCTAAACACAGAGCCAGCCTGCCCCCTGACAGAACAGGGGGGCCTCATTCTTTTACCACTCCACAGGGGATCATCGCTACTTGAGTCACAATTCTCCACACTACTGAGGTGTGGGAGCCCAGAAACCATCTTTCCTGCCCGCCCAACTTAACAGCCCTGATTTTCTTGGGCCTCACGCCAGTCCCAGAACTGGTCCCATGCCTAGCCAATCAGACGTGGTCACTCCTAGTCTCAGTGGTGGTTGAGAGAGGGCACGTGACCCATCAGAATCAGTAAGAGTTTGTTCCGGGACTTTTCTGAAACTGTTAGAAAGAGGAACTTTTTCCACTGAGATGGCTGAGAGGAGGGGATGAAAGCAGAAGCAGGTGGCAGCCACCTTGGCACCATGAGGTAAGAGCCTGTCAGAGGCAGGGAGGGAGGGAGCAAAGGAGGAAGTCCCAAGACACTTTGAGCTTTTGGACCCAGCCATGCTTTACACTCTAACCCAGTACTCTGCTCCCCCAGAGCAAAAACAACACACTCACAAAATCCGCCAACCCCAAACTGTCACTGTAGCTTTATGTTTTGTTTAAGCAAGTCGGAACTGACTTCTGTCATACAGTCCATGCGGTGACAAAACGCTGTAATTAAATACAGGTAATTGCTGTCCCTGACAACAAAGCCATGTTTACAAGGAGCAGAGTCTGGGGAGCTTAATTCAACCCACCTGCATTAAGCATTTCTCTCAATCCATCTGAAAGCCAGCTTGCCACTAAACTCGTGCTTTTTGCCTTATTTCCTAGTTCCAGAAAAGACTGGACCGTGGTTCTTTGTCCCCAACAATCACAAGCAAATGTGTCTCCCAAGATCAAAGTTGGGGCTGCTTCCGGAAGTGTACGGGGAGGAGACAGAGCTGTTCTCCCTGCAGTATGTGCCCCGCGGAGGGAAGGCGCTCACAAGCACAAACCCATCTCGGGAGAACAAGCAGACCTCTCGCCAGTCAAAAAACAAAATAAGCCATGCACCATCCGGGGCTGGTCACCAGCTGATTTTCTCAGATCAGCACTTAAAGGCTCCCTCTGCCTGGCTGAGGCTGCAGATCTTCAAGTCTAAAAACTGTGGCCCGTCCATTAGGTGACTCAGACTGAGGGCAATTTATTCAAGCAAAGAATCGCTGAGGATGGCAGAGTCTCCCTGTTTGAATGTGTCAGTATGTCAGAAATACAGCCCTGAATCAGACAAGAAGCCGTGCTACACCGGACCGGCCAGTGCCTGGAAAACAGCAGGTCACCACATGGGGGACCAGCCAGTTCCCTGGCCAGTTCACTCACCTAAGCCTCAATTACTTTGCCTGTCAGCAGAGAAAGGTGGCCTGTCCCCTTCACAGAGGCGTCCCCAGAACCAAACGAGGTTAGGATGGGACGTCAGTTTTTTAAAATAACTGTCCTACCAATTAAAGGTGACACCAAACTTCCAAAGATCCTTGGATGCCATTAATAAATACACTGCCTGGGAAGGGTGGAGCTCAGGGGTAGAGCGTGTGCTTAGCATGCACGAGGTCCTGGGTTCCATCCCCCAACCCCCAAAAAATTAAATAAAAAACAAAAAGTAGACAGATGACTGGTTAAAGAAGTTGTGGTATATTTATGCAATGGAATACTACTCAGCCATAAAAATAATAAAATTATGCCATTTGCAGCAACACAGATGGACCTGGAGAATGTCATTCTAAGAGAGGTAAGCCAGAAAGAGAAAGAAAAGTATCATTTATATGTGGACTCTAAAAAAAAAAAAAGACAAAGGAACTTATTTACAGAACAGAAATAGACTCACAGACATTGAAAACAAACTTATGGTTACCAAGGTGGGGAGGGGGTGGGAAGGGATAAATTGGGAGTTCGAGATTTGCAGACATTAATATATATAAAATAGATACACAACAAGTTTATACCATATAGCACAGGAAATTATATTCAATATCTTGTAGTAACTTATGATGAAAGAGAATATGGAAACAAATGTATGTATGTTCATGTATGACTGAAGCATTGTGCTGTGCAACAGAAATTGACACAACATTATAAACTGATTATACTTCAATAAAAAAATATACAATAAATAAATAAACAAGTAAATAAACCTAATTACCTCCCAAAAAAAGCTTTAAAAAATCTAAAAAATAGAAGTTATTAAACAATAAATAAATAAATACACTGCTTTCCACTCGTAGAAAGATGGCACAGGCATGGCCTGAGCCTCATAAGGACCCCGTAAGACAGACTCCCCAGGCTCAGCAAGAGGGACAGTCCCCAGTCCCACGGGAGCCGTGCCCAAGTGGCCTGAGGTCGTCGCATGGGAGTGTCAGGGTGCAGAGCATATATCTCTAGTCCTTTCATTCCATGCCGTCTTTCCCTCCACCTGTGGTTCTCAAAGTGTGGTCCGGGGAACAGGGGGATGGGAGCCGGCAGGGGAGAAGGGGTCCTCGAGACCTCTTCTTGGAGTCTGCAAGACCAAAACCATTTAACCTGCCTTTTTCACCTTCTATCCTCATGAGCATTCAGTAGAGTTTTCCAGAGACTTCTTGCTATGTGACACCACAGGACAGAATGCAGAAGCCCACACAAGACTTCGGCTCTTTTATTAAAGCCAGATGTCAAAGAGACTTGCAAAAACTTGAAAACAACTTTCTTCTCATGAATTTTTTTTTTGGTTTGGGAAAACAGTTATTTTCAATAAGATATATTATTTCTGTTGACATGTAATTGGTTGATTACTGTCATTTTTAATAGCCATGAAAGTTTAAACCAACTCTATTTTCATCTCAAACATGGCAGGTGTTACAGCAGTGACCCATGAAAACAGAAGCTCTCTGAAGTGCTCAGTGAGGACAAGAGTGTCAAGGGAACCCAGCGGGGTGGCACCAACCACACCCTTCCCCTCGGGTGCCCTGCAAAGGCCCTGCTCCCAGGGGAAACCCCAGGATGTTTTCAGTGACAGCTAAGCAGGCATCCTTCCCTTCTCGGCCTTTTTTGACTCCTTCTGATTTTTCCCAAGGAGAGAGCCTCCTTCTGGGGCCACTGAGCCTTCAGAGCACCTCCAGTTCTTGCTCACGTTTCCTCATCTCCTTTTTAAGGAAGTGGGAGTTGGTCAAGCTCAGAGCCTTTCTGGGAGAAGGGAACCTGCTCAAATCTGATGAGCAAAACAATAAATGAGCTGGAAACAGAACAGCGTGGCTCTGAAAGTCACCAAGCTATGTCCTGAGAGATTGGGTACGTCCATACAATTCGATAAAAAACCTGCTTTGGGCAGGGGAGGGTACAGCTCAGTGGTAGACACGTGCTTAGGATGTGCAAGGTCCTGGGTTCAATCCCCAGTACCTCCACTAACCAAAAGAAAAAAAAATACACACACACAAACATACACTTAAAAAAAATAGTCTGCTTTAAACAAAGTTATTTCCCTTTGATGGTTTTTCACTTATAGTCACAAAGCCCCATTTTCAAACAAACTTAAGTCAAAATGTTAATCAACGTAAAGGAAAATGTGGGAAAAACAATACCTACAGAATCAGAAGAAGGCAAAAGTTATAACAGAGGCAGCAGAATGGCCAGAGTATGGATGTAAAGTCTCTGTGAGTAGGAACGTTCCATAATTCCGAGACAAAGGCACCACCAGAAACATTCCAACTTCCTGACCTGGTCTAAGGCACCTGGAATGCTTTTCGTGTTGCTACAGATCATGTTTTCTTTTCACCCATCCAACCTCTTCCTTAGGAGCACTTGCGGCAGCTACTAAAACACACAAAACAACCGCTTTACCAGTGCTTGGGGGGAAGGGAGCCTGGTCCCCGGTGCTGTCTGGTAGAACTTTCTACAAGCGGAGATGTTCTCTATCCATGTAGCCCAACACTGAGGCCACTGGCCACGTGAGGTTACACAAAAGCCTGAAATGTGGTTAGTGCAGCCAACTGGATTTCTTTATTAATAAAGCATCACACAGATGCACCATGGGGCTGGGGCTGCCATCCCAGACAGCACAGGTCCAGCCCCCGGACGCTGGACTTCCCTCCAATCTCCACGGGGAGGGATCGCGCCAGACTCCCTGCCCCACCACCCCCGCTACCCCCGGGGCGCCCACAGTGGTGGCTCTCCCAGCCCCGTGAGAAGGAGCGCCAGACCATCTGATCTCACCTCCGGGAATTCTGCAGCAGAGGCAGAAGCGGGGCCTGGGGAGCAAGACCAGAGGGGCTGGGAAGAGGCAGAGGTGGAGATGGAGGAGGGCAAGAGCTTCCGGGGAGCTGGGAATCCCCCCACAAGGACCATGACACTCCCCCCACTCCCCGCACCGCATGGCCCCACCCCCCTTCGGTGAGTCTCATCCAACCAGGAGAGCCTGCTTAAGTCCGCTCCAAAGGGATGGAGACACATGTGGAAACGAAACAAAGGGGAGGAAACACCAGGGCCTCCAGGCTGAAAGACTCAGAATCAGGGATGGGGACCAGTGCCTAACTCCCTCCCTCCCGCCTCCCCGCTTTCCCACCTCCAGCCCCGACTTCAGTGGCAGAGGCCTCCTAGGATGGCTGCCGAATCCACCTTCTGAATTCACCTTCTGCGGGGACTGTGCCAGCATGGTTTTTTTGGGGGGGAAGGGGGGGAGTAGGTAATTAGGTTTTTATTTATTTTTTAAGAGAGGCACTGGAGACTGAACCCTGGACCTCATACATGCTAAGCACGTGCTCTACCCCTGAGCTATACCCCTGCCCCGCCCCACCCCAGCCACCGTGTTCCTGATACAAGACCCCCTCACAGAGGACCGAGCGGAGCAAGCCAGAGGAGGGAGAGACAGGGACAGAGGCAGAGGGACTGAGAAGGGAGGGATGATGTGGGTTCCTGAGTTGAACTCTGCAATTACACAGCCAGGTAACGACCACCCCAGCCAGGGCGCCTCTGAGAAGGAGGAGACACATGGGGCTGAACGACGCTGTGACAACAGGTGTGACCCAGATGGTCAGGGCCAACTAAGATGTTGGGTGTCCCTGTATTCAAGGCTCTACAACACCTCCCGCTCCCTTGGCCCCCATAAAAGAGTCCTTCAGCATTTTAGGAAATCCAGCCTTTTATTTAAACTGTTTGTGTGATCTGGGACCAAGTGCAGGGGAACCTAAGCCCCACATGATCATCGCCCGGCTGCAGACCCCGGGGCAGACCTTATGTGGCGTGACAACTTTGGGGACAAAGCCAGCCATGCTTCCTCGTCCCACAGCACTGCACCATCTGACCCGGGTCTGAGCCACCAGAGGTCCCTTCCGCCGAGACAGGAGGAAAGGAAAGCAGGGAAGATGGTGGTCAGCTGGGTTCCGGCTGCAAGCCTCCCTCTTCCGAGGTGAACAAAGGTCTTGGAGCTGTTTTAGGACTAGGGGGAACCACGTTCCTCCCAGGCGGAAAGGCTCCGATTCAGAACTCTGATTTGACTGCAGGATGTCTCCAAACAAGCAGGTGAGCACTCAGTACCCCCTCCACAGCCATCCTGCGGGATGGGACCACACAGCACCCCCTCGTGTAGTGCTGGCCAAGGTCAAGGTCCCCCAGGCATGTGGAGGCTGATTTAAGGCAGTCGACAGGTCTAGGAAAGAGGAGAAGGCTCTTTTCTTTAAACTTCCTCATTTAAAATAACTTCAGTCTTGGAGAACACAAGGGTGAGATGCAGACGTGATGTCCCTTCACCCTGAGAGACTTCAGTGCGTGTGTCCTACAGAAGAGGACGGTCTCTTACGTAACCAGTGTGCGATGATCCAAATCAGAGAACTCCCAGTGACACAAGGCTAATGATCTGTTCTATGACTTTATTTGAATGGCATCCCTCATCCCACCAAAGGCTTGTACAGCAAAGGAAAAGAAATACGTTTCCTGGCCCAGCACCCAGGCCAGGGCTCGGACTCTGACTCCAGCTGTCAGGCTCCCTCCCTGGCCCCTCAGCCTGGGACAGCCCTGCCGTCCGTGGCCTGACACTTCCGAATGATACAAAGCGGTTATGTCGTAGAATGTCTGCCAATCTGGAAAAGACTCACTTTCAGTTCGTCTTTTTTGTGGATGCTACACAGGCTGCAGCCACCAGGATGGAATTTAACCAATTACAAAAAAGGTATTTAAGAGCCCAAGGTCCAGAGCACCATGAAGGAAAAACCCGCAGCCCTCCAATCTCCAGGCAGCAGAGTCAGTCCTCAGGGGCCCTAGGGAAGGGGTGGGGGTTACGTAACCAGCCCCCCAGCACACACACACTCACAGGCACACACACATACACACACAGAGCTAGGAAGGCTGACGGGACCCATTGCCTTTTCTTTCATGGCCAGCACGTGTTTGAAACCCACCGGATCGTTTGTGTGAGAGGAGGCAGAACGGCTGACACTGCGGCACTGTACTGAGTTCAACCACAAGTGAGCCATTTCCATGTTTATGCAGAGAGGTTTAACATATTCCCTCAACTTCAAGACCCACTTTTTTTTCCAAATTTGGCAACTATTAGATTTGAGACGGATTATGCAACTGATACGCATGTTTATCGGGGTAATGCCTAGCCACCCGCATGTTGTTATGCAATACAAGGTCCAGTTTACAATGAACCCGCAGCTGACAATCAGGGCAGTTCAGGGAGCCCGGAGCCCAGCCCTGGGATGAGACAGTGCAGCCTCTGTGGATGGTACCCAGCCCCCCAGCAAGCCCGACCCGCTCCCCTTGGAGAAACATTCCGCTCAACAGAACGGGAAGAGAGGAGGACAAGAATGCAAAAGAACCAAAGTCAAAACCCACCCTAAACATTAAGAGACACGGAGAACCCACCAGAAGAAATGGCTATAAACGTGACAAGTGGCTGCTTCTAGAAGCAAACAGAACTGGGGCTGGGAAGGAACAAGGTGGAGGATGTTCATTGTCTCAGCGGCTTTTCTTCAACTACGTCCAAGCACTGCTTTAATAAAAATAAAATCGTAAGTTACTGCAGCAGGGATTGGCCAAAGTTTTGTACTGCCCCCGCATCAAGACTGAGGGTGACGACTCCTTCAGCAAGATTCCAATCCAGATCTCAGTCTTGCGGCATTAGGGCTGGAAAAGCCTCTGCCCTCCACGCAGCTCAGAGGCTCCCTTTCACAGAGGAGGTAACTGAAGCCTCTCCCAAGGGTGAGCGTCAGGGTGCAGACTGAAAACCTGGTCCCCCAAGTCCTCAGTCAGCATCCTTCCATCTCACCAGCCTCAGTGGGGACTTCAGAATACGCATCCTCCACCCCTAGCAACACACATCTTCCAGCTGCTTCGGGGCACGGGCTCCAGCCTCAGTCTCTGGGATTCAAACCTTGGCTCCTGGACCCACTGGCTGTGTGACCAGCAAGAACAGATCTTTCAGTGCCTCCACCCACTTCTCATTAACATTCTCCAGCGCTGTCGTGAGAACGCACAGGATAAACCCCATGAACCACTTGACACAATGCTCAACAGAGACTCAGCTTTCAATACATAGCAGTGACTTTCATGTAAGTGTCACCCAATAAATGGCAAGAGGTTAGAAAGGCAAGGACCAAAGCTGAATGGATGTTCTAGATGCCAGGTACCGTGCCAGGGACCTGAAAAACAGCACCTGTTTCATCCTTAACAGCCCTGCAAGACAGGTCTTGCCTTTCTGATTTTATTTATTTTGTTTGCTTGGTGTGGATTTTTTGGGGATTGGGAGGATTAGGTTTTACTTATTTAATTATTTTAATGGAGGTGCTGGGGACTGAACCCAAGAACTCGTGCATGCTAAGCACGTGCTCCACCACTGAGCTACACCCTCCCCTGCCTTGCCCTTCCAATTTAGAGAGAAGGAAATTAAAAATCCAGAAAAGCTAAAATCCTTGCCAAGGCTGCACAGCTTCTGAAAAGGCAGAAGGCGCGTTCAAATCCAGCCGTCCTGAATGCTCAAGCCCGGGCTTTTAAGTCTCTATCGGCTCCCAAACAAGTATCCCTGTGCCTTTTTTGATCCCACGTTTCACGGCGTTAAAGTCTGGTTTGC